CTACATCAAGAGTACACATCCACAACATAATATTTCACGCAATTTTATTTATAAAATTGTAATTATCTAACAAATTGCATATAAAATGATTTACTTCAAGTAAATACAGAATACTGCACAACTATTAAAACTATTGTAGTATCCATCATAAGTGTATTAAAACATTCCTAAAAAATGCCTCTATTAAAAAACAAAAACTCAAGAACACAAGTAGCATGATCAAGACCACTTCCAATAGCTTAAAATGAATTACCAGGAAGTTGCACGAACTTCCTAAGTAGATTCCAGTTACATCCATTGAGATCAGCATGTGATACAATACCACAGTCTAATGCTAAAGATGACAAGTAATACATTATGCACCTGATCTATGCTTTTCTCCTAGACTGCAGGTAACCAGTCTGAAATCAGGAAACTAAAGCTCAAGTCAAACTCTACTGGGCATGCAGTTCTGTTATAGCAATACTTTCAATCGGTAAGTGTAGTTGGCTTTTACAATCAATTTTACAACTGATTAAAAAAAAAGGAACACAAGAGAGTACATTCGTATAAAAAGGAATGATACACGAAGGGCAAATATTGATACCTTGCCGTACACCCCAGGATGAACCAGAGAGATTCGGTTGGAACTAATCTGGAATATACGTATCAGAGACAGGTCTGAGTCACAAAACCCAAAAACCAATCTCCCCAGAGCTCAAGGTAGTATCAGGTCCATCTCTACTATGTACACAGAGTGAACATGAACACATGTGGATGGAGCTTTTTATTAACAGGTGTATATTGCTGGAACACAAAAGACAGCTAGCAGTGCTTCCTGGTGCACGCTAGTAGTCACAACACTTATTTTTATACTGCATCTTAACGGAGATTGTTTTTCCTTTTTTTCAAGTGGCAAAGTTTGGTAGCTAATGGATCCAACAGGGTAGTTTTATTCTGTTTCATAACCAGTTAGAGAAATCTGAAAAAGCTTCAGAGAGAAAACAAAAATGGGAGGGAAGAACTGAACCTTCAATGGTGCTTGACACCCGTTGAGATCTAATCTCCTTCCCAGGTATTTGCAGAACTGCCCAAATGCACCCAAAAAGGCACACACAGTAAGAAGGGAAACAGAATAAAAAATACACACGAGAGTTTCTCTTGCAAACAACTTTGTTAATCATAATCAATTTTACCAAGGGCACCTCTCTAAAGTAGTAAAAGCACAGATTAACGTCCAGGACAGTTCTTATAGCACCATGTTTAGTCCTGCTGCAAGCAATGGCAGCCTCCCAGAACTGGAAGGGGGTGCCGACTCGGACCTTCCATTCTACAGTCTGATGCCGTTCTGACGCCAAGTAGCCAAGGGAAAAGGCAAGGGAGGTCCCTCTACAAAGCAGAGCCCGAACGGGTGCCCAGGGTTCACCTCCCTGAGGTGCAGGTCCGCCGGACAGGCAGTAGATGGCAGGCGATGAAAGCACTCCCGCTCACCTCCGGGGCGAGGGAAAGCCTGAACGACCACGCATTTTTTCATCAGCAAACTCTCTCGGTGGACACCTTTCTTATCCATAATAAACACTTTCAGGGTGAAAAGCAGTCATGTGCAAGAATCATTTAATCTGCATGCTACTATTTACATTTCAAACACTATTTACACACCAGAACTACAATTAGCATCTCTCTCAAAGGGGAGAGAAGAAGGCTTTCAGGACAGAGAACACTTGAGCAAGCATCTCTACAGCTTCAAACTCCAAGGGGCACAATCAGAATTACAGATTTTGAAGCAAAGAGATCCTACTGCTACTGAAACAGACACAGAGACAAATCAAACATTTCTCCATTAGGCTATTAAAAAAAGTAAAACGGAAAAAAAGAGAGAAAGATCAAACAACAGAAAGGCCTGTGAATACAGAGAGTATTCAGAAAGCAGAGGAATAAAAACTGTGATGGCCTTTGTCAGGGCTCAGTGGGGAATTCAGAAACAGCTTTAAAGCCAGGGCTACTGCTGAAGCTACCAGACCTCTCATTAGCAACACTACCATCCCACATGAATCACCCAGCACACAGATATTTCACACTCCAGAAGGGCCGTAAGTCTGACAACAAATTTCTGAACAACTACTACATATTAAAGATAATTAGGCTGACCTCTGAACTCGCATCTACCCCACCACCACACCAGGCAGGCCAGAAATTGCCAAGGAACCCTACCACCTACCACATCTTATTGCTTTAGAAAATGAGCCCATGTAGCCAGTGGTTGTGCTCTAGATGAAGCTCACCTGAAGTTTTCACAAAGTTTTCTGGAAGAAAGCTTGCTCGCATTTGGCAGGCTCTGACAACAGATTGCTTTCCAAGGCCTCACACAAGCTTTCCATACTGGACATCTAAGCTGCTGAGAAGCTGCTGATGGGGCATTTCTAGGACAGCTTACCCAATCTGAAGACAAAAAATGTGGTATTTAAATGTGCAGTATAGACAGCTAATCTTGAACATTCAGTAGGCATCCATCAAATAACTGCAAAAATGAGGAAAATAAGAGTATCTCTTGGGAGTGGGGAAGGGTGGAGGATCAGCATCTGCAACAATAAAGACAAGCTCTATAAAAATAAGTTTAGTGTTTTTTATAGGAATAATCAGTCATTCTGGGACTCGGTATTAAGTGTTGCACATTTGCATGTACATGTGCAAGTAGTGAGAACAAGATTTGTTCACCTCAGAGCATTTACCCTCCTATCAGTCTGACACAGCCCATGGCACATCCATCTGACTGGAGCTCAGAGAATAGCACGACAAGACAGAAGGCCAATACAGTACAACTGCAGAAATTCAAGTAGAAGAAGGAAGTTGTCTTCAGAAGCCCATAGCAACAACAGCAGTATTCAAGATCAGTGGTAATAAGGAATGTTTCTCTAAGGTAGGCTTTTTTTCTTTTTCTGCAAACCAAAGCACTGGGTCACAATCAAGGCTCTTGGGCAGAAGGGTTAATTCCTCAACCACGTTTCCCTGATTTCTCCCCACACCATTTTGTCTCAGTGCAGCGACACTGGTGCTGATGCTCCGTCTATCCTGCTGCTACCAGGCAAAAAGGTGTGTCCTTTTGGGGGTAAACAAACACCAGTAACTCCTCAAGTTGGGGAGTGGCTAAGAAAAACATAACACTGTGGTGAGGTGGAACCAACTTTATTAAGGACAGTGAATTATAATTGCTTTCAAAGGCTTTAAAAAAAATTACTGAGTCATGGCTGGCCTTTAACAGCAGATACCAAAGGATATGGAGGCTGCCTGATTCAGAGGAGTCAGTGGGAGTTAACCAGCAGAGAATGAGGTAATGCTCAAAGACAGAAGGACAACAGGACTGTCTGCAGCATCTATGGAATGCTGGTTTGCCTACCAGCCTTGCGAGAGAAAAAAACCACGGTCAAGTAAAGCAGAGAGAGGCAAAATGTGCAAGGGTACATACATCACATGTTTAAGAGTCATAGGACCAGAAAGGACCATAATAGGTCATCAGACCAGCCTTCTATCCATCCCCCAGAATAGGGAAGCTTTGAAAGCAATGCATTCATCTCTTTCTACTCCACATACTTCATTTTAAGAAACTCATCCCAGAAAAACGCTAAGCTCTTACAAAGAGGTGCTACACGCCCTTTGCCACTGTCTGACCAAAGCAGGAGCAAAGAGCTCACAGCTTTCAGGACTGGTTCTGCAGATACTGAGAAGGGTCATACAAGCTAAATTTATACAAAGTGCAATCAAACTACCCAAGCCATGGTCAGGTTTGTAAGCTCACTAACTATTGTTAGTGAAGAAGAGTGAATCAAAACTTCTAGGTGGGATGGAGTCTGATCTAATTCTTCTTCCACTATTTGTGCTTTATTCCAAATTCTACTCTTTTGTCCAATTCAAAAGTCTGTCTTGAATTACATACTTCTATTTTAAAACTTCTATTCCACTGCTCAAGACAGCGTTTTGCTGCACTTAGAGCAACAAAGGGAATACACATCTCCACAGCAAGGATTTGTTCACTGGAGGTAAGCATTTCTCCCCAACTTCCAAGGGAATGGGATATGATCTTTCCATAATCACATGCACTTAGCAATAAATAAGTTTGGATTAGACTGTATTAAAACATATGCACAGATTTAAAGCACAGGAGTGTCACAGATTCTTACTCCACAGCTCATGCAAGCAAAAAGAATTAAAGAAAAAAAAAAGACAGACCAAAGCCTCAGCTAAGAGCAGACCAAAGAATCATCTTAAAAGAAGTTTTGCACAAGTATATCAAAGCACTAATATTAGTGAGATCCCTAAATATATTAGGTTACACTAAATTCCAGAGAAACAAAAGATTTAGCCATATCAGACACATGTTTTGATTTTTTTAAGTTAATATATAATTCATTCTTTGAATATTATTCACTTGGACCCAACATCCACACTGCTTTCATACATTTATACAGTTATATCCCATCCTTGCCTTAAGAGACTGATGTCCTAAGTTATGGCAGCAACCAAAGGCTCTACAAACCCTTGTTTGTCAAATATAAAACTCCTTTCCCTTCATACAAGGGTGGAGAAAGGAAGAAAGATGTTGATAAAATTAGACGATTCTCCCTGTGAGCTTGCTGATTCCAACCTCAAAGTACTACAGGGAGATGGTTGGAAGCCTGTGTAAAAAAAAATTTCCCTTGTTTTAAAAACAATTTCTTTTACTGTACAATAGATGCATAGAAAGTTGCTTCCTGCTTGATGGGTTTAGGCCTGTAGCTATGTTTAGCTGTGAAAACAAGAAGATTGTTCCTTTACAGAGTGGTGAGGAGAGAGACCATCTCAGGAATATTTGGCAGCTATCGAAGAGCTCATGACACAAAGAATAAACAGCATAACCACAGACTACAACGAATGCAACTCTGTCCCACTGAACACACCAATTCAAAAAAAGTGTCCACTTGTTACTCAGGATCAAGAATACAGTAGAGATTCACGGCTCAACAGCTTTCAAACTGGTGGTTTAAAACAGAAAAATTGTCAGTGAGCAGCAGACTTTAAGTAGCCCACTCTTCTCTCCCCCACCCCAAAGAAACACGAGTTCACTGCAATATCAGGAACTTAAGACTTGAGACTACTTGGGAGAGAAGGCTTCCCTGTCACCCATGTCCATACAGCTTGGTGTCGGAGCGACACACTGGAGGTTTCAGAGGGTTTCGGTTGTCCAGTGTCTTGTTGTGGTTACTTCAGCAGTTTTACCAGCTGGCTCTGACAGCCTCAATGTCACTAACCAAATTCTGGGCTAAGCATATCCCAAATATCTGGAAGAGACAACAGTTGATTCATGTGGAGCATCGGACAACTCTTTTCAAACAGGCAAACTTTCATGGAAAAACAACAGAAAATTAGAAAACAAATTAACAGTAAGTGTTGGAATAAGGAATAATATTTTAAAAAATACTCTTGTAACCTCAATATTTTTTATAGTGCCACTGGGGTCTGAGAAATTGAAGAGTTCTAGACTTGCTTCACAAAAGCAACTATAAAGGCTTTTCTCTGCTCATTTAAGCATCATCAGAAACAATAGGTCTGTACAGGCTTAGAAATCTCTACCTAATCTTTATCTAACAGAGTGTTAGTTTTGACCTACAGACAGTTGAAAAAAAAAATGTATCCCTACAAATAAAAATTAAATACTCCTTAACACGAAGAAAGCCTCATGCATTTAGCTCCCCTCTCTAAAACTGAAGGATGTTGTATTTTTAAGTGCAACTGACACCGTATTTCTAGTTCAAGTATACAGTTTGCCCCTCATATTTTATCTGTTTTTCAGCTGTGTAACTCATTACAAGGAATGTGATGTTTACCTGCAATAACGCTATCCCAATGAATATACCGGCAACTATGGTAAGATTGTCCTGCAACCACTTCTCAAACTGAGGGACACAGCCTTTAGTGTAGATAACAATCTGCTGATCAACTTCCTGCCAAAGAGAAGAGGGAAGAAAACAGAGATAATTACATTTTACTATCCCATCAGTAGAATCACCTGCTCTTGCAAGAGGGATTCAGATCCTTAAGATATCACATTTCGAAAAAATAAAATGCTTACTGGTTTTTGCCTTGCATCGTAGCCACACTGAGTATTAATAACATCTTCCTAGGATAGAGAGAGAGAAACAGAAGAGGCAATCAGTGAAGTGTCTCCCAAACACCTTCTTCCAGGTCCCCACAGTTGGTCCTGTATGTAATAAGACAGTCAACCCCAACTTTGGTAAACTTACTGCTTTTTAAAAAGCCTTCCTTTTCCATTCAATGCTATTAATTATTTGCAACAAACAAAAGCACATAGGCAAAAAATATTTTCAGCTCTCAAGGCAGCAAAAGCTGGGAAAACTAGCCCTCCACCTGCATGAACTCAAGTTCCAGATGCAAGCATTCAGAAGTCAAAGTAAAGGCATTAGGGAACACCTATTTATAGCGAAAGACCCTTCTGCTGAAAAGGTTTTGTCTATACTGAAAAATATGCCAAGACTACTGTGAACATTTTCAGCATTCAGTCTGTGCAGCAAGAGGAGATCAAGAGGTGAAAAAGGGCAGTTCACTTGCAGAAGCTGCAAGTTCTTACCAAGGATATAGAAATATATACAGTAATATATATATACACACACACATCTAACAAACTAGGGACAAAAGAAGAGGTGCAGTAATGTGTTATTACTGCTTATTCTTTCTTATGGGGAGCTTGATACCAACGGGAGAGGAGGGATTTTTTTTTTCCCACTGCCTCTGCTACTCTGTACTCCCAAAGCACAGGTAATAAGATAGGCTATGGTAGACTTTTCCTAGTGAACAAATGCTACCTATTGGAAGCTGAAGCTGCATTTAGTCTCTACAGAGTTATTTCAGGCCAATAAAATGAAGCAACTACTTTTGATGGCAGCCACAATGGCAGCAAAATATTGTTACTGGTTCACACAACAGTGAGCAGATGAAGGAACTACTCAATGAAGTAAGAAAATCAGTAAATCTTGACTAGGTGTACTGAACATCGCAATTTGATTAAATTGTGGAAAGTGAGAAAGGCAGGCAGCAGATATAGATTTTAAATAGCAGCCATACGGAAAAAGATATCTCCCCCTACCAGCAGTTAAAGCTCCAAGTGCTTCCTCACTCTGCAGGAAGTATATGAACACATTGCATCCTGTCAGTTGCCAAAGCTGGATTCCCTCAATGGACCTTTAAGATTAGAGCCATTTGTATCTTTTAATGATACGAATGCTTCTGTTTCAGTATCTAAAAATGTAACGGTGTCACACATTTCAAGGCTGTAGAAGTGAGTAAGATTCCTACAGAGGGATTTTAAGCTTTCTTCTTCGTACTGAATGTCTACCTGCTTTATCATCAGTGTCTTCTGCCTTTAGCCTTGGAATTCATTAACCAAAAGAAAGAGTGAAGAATGAAATGGAAATAAATCAACTTTTCTATGGAAAAGACGTTTTTCTAGGAATTTGGAACATTTCAACCTGCTCAACTACAGCAGTGAACTATAGGAGTCCAAATTAATTTTAAAGGAGACTTATTTTGGCCTATGTTAAACTTAACACTTCCTGATTCCAGCTAAGTCCTGTTCAATAAAGCATCCACATAACTTTGTACATCAGTTCAACACTGCACCCTAATACCAAAAGGGACAAATACGCAAAAGGGACAAATTTGCTTTCCCACAGAATAAACCTTTGTTTATCACTGCAACTGAACCAGTCACAGCTTGGTCACAATTATATCCATTATATGCATGACTTCTAATATTTTTAGAAATTCTGTTATTTTTAGTCTTGATTTTAAAGGCAATTAAACATGTTGCTTCCCTACAACAAATAAGAACAAGACTTATCTTTAAATTTCTGGCTGCTGCATCACCCCCTAACAAACTGCATAACCATATACACACAGAAAAAAAGATAACTTTAGCATGGATTATGTATTTATGGGATTACTTCGTACTGCTGTCACTGGTTTGGTTTTATAACAACTATATTTTTAAAACTGGGTTGTGATGACCTTTCTGTGTGGGCAGGCAGGCAGACAGGCAAACAGCAGGGGGAATCCTAAGCATAATGTAATGCTTAAGCCTAACCTACTTTCCATTTTGTTTTAATATTTCATTAAAACACTTTCAGCTATGTTTGTGAGGAAGATTCAAACTACTGTGAAGACATGTTCACTGCAGAGGAAACAGATGCAGCTCGTGCAAGTGGCAGCATGTCATCAGGAGAGGGGAGAGCAGCAGCAGTGACCGGATGCCAGAAGCAGCAACTGCATTGCATTAGCAAGGCAGGAAGCACCTGAAGGGCCTGTTGCCAACTTGCCTAACTGTGGTCAGTGCTACAGACTCATACATTCAGAGAACTATAAGTCACTCCAGGTGCAGAAAGAGCTGCAGCCGAATTACTAAATAATACAAGCACTCACAGGCCGTTTCTTTTAAGTTATATGAAAGTAAAATATAAGCAGTGTTAGCCACATAAGTTTCCATGCACACATCCATCCCTATTCCAAGCTTTTCACTGTCAGTGAGCTGCTTTCCTACACGCTTCATTCTTGATCATGTCTGTACTAGTAACGCACGGCTCCAACATTTTCTACTTGATGATTCAGAACTACAAATATTGTAAAACAATTTCTGACCTTTCAAGTCTGATCTCAGGTGACTGTAGGATAAGCAGTAATTTTCAAGAGAAGAAAAGAGCATGTGAAGATGCCCATACTGAACTCAAGATTCTAATGCACACACATGTCAGTTCTTAAGGGCACAGACTGCCATTCATTACCATACTTAGCACAAACTGGGTCAAACCAACTGCAACCTCTGGACACCTCATTTAATAATGAGTAATACCTGCTTTAGAGTGTCTAATCTCAGAGTTGCATTTTTTTAAGGCAGTGAATGAAACATCCTGATGATATTCAATTGAAAGCTCACGTCCTTCAACTCATTAAGGGCTTCTGTTTTTTTATACTTGCTAAAATTAATATGTATGTTTAGACAAGCCCATGGTTCTCTCATTCTAATGAAAAGTAGCAAACAACATACAATGAAGACTAAAGTTAGCTCAGGATTTTTGCTGAATGCAGAAAACTTAGTCATTAAGCTGAGCTGCAAGTACAAAAAAAATACAGTTTGGTGAAAAGGTAATGATCATGCGTGACTTCCAGAAAAAAACCCCATTCAACAACCTTATAGAGCGATTCAAAATTAGAACAGCAGACCCATCCTACTCTCTTGACTGTCACTTACGGCAGGGGCTTTAGTGCAGCAAGAGAACGGCACACCACAGCGCTCTCGACTTGCATTGGAATCTGTGCAATTGAAGTAAATATTAAGGTTCCAGTCGTCAGCTCCAAAAGCCCCGCAGCACTGCCACTAGAACAAAGGAAGGGAAAGCTTCTTGACTTTGAGAACAAACAAATCTTGGTGTTAGTAACACGCGTCATAGCTGCCAGTTTCCCTCTAGCTTTCAAAACAAAAATCTGAGATTCCCTCTGGTTTCACTGAAGTGTGCTTGGTTTTGTGGTATTTTTTAGAAAAGACCATTCCAAACCTGTAAGTTGTTCTAAAAGTATCATGTGATCAGAGTTATGTTCACACCCTACAACACTGCTCTCTGGAGAGAAACCCATGGAGTGAGCTGATAAGCATACACAACACCAGAGTTTCACAGGCCTACAAAAGCGCAGGCTTCAGGGACCTGAAGATGGCTCTACCATACACAGAGCCAAGAGTATGATATTCTGTCCAGCCTAACGTGCCCTAGGTTCTCAACAAAACTAATCAGCTCCAAGTGCTACACTGATATAGTTACTCTTTTTGCCAGTTTGGGGAAAACTTTGCCTGGCTGTACATCAGACAGCATGAACACGTTGTTTCCTGAGCACCACACATTGTGCAAATAACATCTTTACTGAAGGAGGCAAAATCCTTCCAAAAGTAAATATGCTAAATAGCAGGCTTAGTCTCTGGCAAGACATGCTGAACACAAAGAATTTTTAAAACTTGCTGAACATATGAAGAATGGAGGGGAGATCAGTGAAGCGCTGATGATTTACAGCGTTTAAGGAGCTAGCTCAATAAACCCATCTATGTCAACTTAAAAAAAATCCAAACAAACCACACTTTTTTAGCATTGGAATGGCAATTTTCTCTGCCTAGATGTAGCACAGTTCCTTCTGCAATACCTGAACATGTTGTCTTCAAGCATTCTCTCTACTAGCTGAAAAAGTAGCTTGCTCTCCAGACTCCTGTTGTCCCTGACTTATCTGCTAAGATTGCCAGTCTTAGTGGCTGCAAAACTGGACTGTAGCCTTTTAGTTGCATACAAGTGGACCACTGCTTTCAAACTATGGTGACCTCTGACCTTCTCCTGACCGGACAAGATTCAAAGCAGTGCAAGGATCCACATCCTGCTACTTACTCACTTGTTCCCCAAGGACAAGTTATTTATTCATTTCCTCCCCCTGCCCTGCCCCACGGCATATAGAAGCAAATCAAACACTGAATGAAGTAATTTTAATTGCAGAATGTACAAAAATTAGTAAACATTATTCCAGCCAGTATTTAATCATGTCAGATACAGAGGGCCAAATTCAAAGAGGAGTTCCTCAACACAAGCCAGAATTGAGTACTGGAGCAAGGTGGTAGTGGCAAAATAACTTGTGTGCAAAAATCAGTGCGGGACTCCTTTACACACTGATAAATTACAGAGCTTAACCCACAAAGCGCATGCGTCTCTAGCTTGACCCTTCCCTCCAAAGTGTAGACGTAGCATCATTTAGAGATTCCCTATGAGAACTTTATGAATTTCCCACTTTGTTAGGCTAATTGCATTAAGTCTACCTAAAAAGAAATAACATTGCAGTTTCACTCAGGCCAGCTAAACATCTCTGCCACTCTACAGCATGGTGCAGCACCTCTAATGTTGCTGAAACTACACCAACATTCATTTCAGAATCAAATTAAGCTTAAAAAAAATTACTTTCCTAAACATACGTAATAGCCCCTACAATAAAATATTTTTAACACCCCTCACCCCATGAACTCTAAAATATCTTCATACACATATGAAATATGCTCCCAAAAACTGAACAAAGGACACCGATGGTTAGCTTAGAGATAGCATGTCAAATCTACAAGTCTTCAAGAACAAGTCAGCCCAACTCTCCACCTTGTTCTGCTCAGTCATACATCAACAAATAAGCCACTTTTCACAGGTGCTGTGTGTTTGCAGTTTTGTAAAGAGAAATATATATATATATATATATATATATATATTCAAAAGTATTATAAACTAGAATATTTCTGTTGTTCCTTGAAGAATCCAAACAGATGGAAAGTAAAAAACAGTAGGTATTTCTTTAAAGTAAGCTTTATAAACAAACAAACAGTCCAACTTACATATTCCTGTGTGAAGTCTATGAGGTTTTGCAAATCAATGTCATCTCTGTATGCTCTGATGTTGTTGTTTATAAAGAAATACAGCTGGTCCTTTATCCAGTCTTTGAAAACAAATGCCAGAACACCAGCAGTGAGCTCCAAGAAAAAAATAATTCCAAGAAACACAGAAAACTATGAAAAAAAAGAAAAAGGTTAAAATTATTTTGCTTTATGATCAAAATCTTATTTTTCAAGGCTCATAATTACATCAAGTGTTAGGGCTTTATTTGTTTCAGTACAAGTTCAAGATATACCAGCACATGAAAATTTTTAATTAAAAATACACCATTTTAGATCAGGGCTGTAGTACAGGAATCTTAAGTCTATTCTAGGAAATAATCAAAATGCCAACGAATTCAAACTTCGAACATTTCACTGGGATTTTCAAAGAGGTCCAAGAGAATTCACTGTAAATTTCAACAGAGATGGCTACTCGCCACCTGTAGGGCCCTTTGAAAGCTCATCTTAAATTTCTATGTCGGCACTTACATTTTTCAAAGGCAGAAAACAACCAATAGTACCAGTGAAATGCTTTCTAAGTGACTTTTTCTTTAGCAACCCTCATTGGCAAAGCTTTGCCTAAGTGGACAAAGCAAAAATTGGTAACAGCAGAAATTAATTAATGACTAAGTCAGAGCAGAATGTCTATGGAATGACTCACATCCACATTAAAACCAAATGAGGCTGCTATGATTAATGCAAATGCAATGGATGCCAAAGGCATTACTAATGATCTGCCACTTTCTCTAAGCATCTCCACTGAGTCTATGCTGTTTTAAAACACACAGGGGTCCTCATATACTGGAAGTCCATCCCTTTTGCAACTGTGCCTTTGAGATTCATTTTAATGTGCTCTCTGTGTTTGTTCAGATGCATTTTTAATTTCTCCTGCAGCTGCTGTAAAGGAATCTATTTCTGGAACAGCAGATGGGTTCATTTTAGGCAAGCTAAGAGAAGCAAGGAAAAGGAGAAAAAAGTGTTACAATAGCTCACCTCCCCGCTCCCCATTTTTTTTTTTTATGAGCAAGACAAGAGCAAGCTATAACTATCCCAGGCTGCTTTATATATGCCTTTATAGACTGCATCCTTCTCTTACACATCATGTTTGTGGAAGTCAAATATATGTCACTTGAAGGCTGCTGCTTCACTGGAAGCTTTTCCATGTATACATTAACAGTTAATGAAGACTACCCAGGCTGTGCCCACCTCTGGAAGTCATGGTGGTGGAGGAAAGAATCTTGCATTTTTATTACAAATCTTAAATTTATCTAAAATGGAACGTGATACTGTTATCCTCATTTTCAAAGCTCACAGGAAGAAGGCTTTCAAAGAACAGAACCAGGCTACTTAGCTAAAGGAGTTTTGAATACTGAGGTGTGTTTGTATACATATCAGCGGTTCCTTCCCCAACTAGCAGTCCAGCCCAGAGTTCAAGATGACAACTTCTGTTTTCTTTACCCATCCTAGGCACATTCTCCTCCCTCTGAGGCCCCACTGACAGTAAGCAACTAAGCCCTTTTAAATGAGCTAAATGGTACAGAGCTGAAGATATCAGCAAGGAACCCCTCATAACAGTCCTATCTCCTCTGTACCATGAGGGGCACTTGCACAGCAGAACTCACACAGGTCACATTCAGTGGTGTATTTACACTCCTCATATTTCACAGACAGTTTGTTATGGACTCAAAGTTCAACATGCAGATTCTTAGCAGAAATTTCTCTCGTTTAGTAACAGGAAAGCAAAATGTTAGGCTATATCCATATGAAAAGCAGTAGTTACATGTTATGATTCCTACTGCTCATAGTTTCAAACCTTAAAAGAAACCCAATAGTGAGCACCAAAGACTGAAGAGCTATAAAGTGTTAACTTAAGAAAAAGCATTCACGGAACAGCACTCTCACATCAGCTAACACTTTCCACTCTCCAAAAGACATTTTAAAATCTTTACACAGTTAGGCAGGAACAGAGAACATGACTTATGCTATGTAACTGATGAACACCACAGCTGGCTACTTACAAATTTGAGAAGAAAGGTATTTTCTCGCAAAGCTCCAATGCATCCTGCAAATCCCAAAATGAACATCACTCCTCCGACCACTAGGAAAAGCCAAACTGGATCAAAGCCTCCCAGGTCGGTGATGGAGGAGATATTGGACAGCACTCCCTGGGAAAAAAACAGTGCCAAGGGATAACAAGTACATTCAGCTTTCAGTTGTACAATTCTGCTTGCATTTTTCTTTTTAAAAAGATAGACAACTACAGCAAATAAATGTTCTGCAGTACAGCAAGAAAATGCAATTAAGAAAATCTTTGCAATCAAAAAGAGATTAAAAGGGTGAGTATGTACAGTATTTCTGAATCAACATGTGGAATGAACAACAAAATGTGCTTCTGGAGTCCTCTGAGAAACCCACAGGACATTTTGCTGCTTCTGTAGTTATGAGAATTAGTCTGCCAGAAAATCAGAATAGATCTTTAAATAGATGATAAATAAGAGATACAAAACTTAACTCAATCTTATTACCCATGTCAAGATGCATTTTAGGTATCATGTATGTTGTTTATGTAAAACACAGTTGCACATTATGATACAAAAAGCAGCCAATAACACCACCACTACCTTGAATTTAGCATTTATGCTCAGTATTTACAACAATTGACAGAAATCAGAAGTGAGCTCCTAGGTTGCGGCATCTCGCAACAATGAATTTTACACTAAATTTTGACAAACTAGACACCTGACCAATTCAACTTCAGGCATCTACAGTACCAAAAACTCCTATAAATAAAGTTCGGATACTGACTAATCACTTAGCAGGAAAAATCTGAAAACAACGTTAAGTCTCATAGTAGGGCAGAAGGCAGTTTAAGGACTTGTCTTGGGAGATGGTTTGCACTACCTTACGTTAGACCAATCATATGTAAACCACAGATGCTGTGTTGTAGACATGATAGTCAGCACAGTCTGCTTGTAATGCCACTGCCCCCTTAGAAGCAGAGCTTGGGTTGTGATGCCAGTAATCCCGAGGAACTATTTTTTTTTTTTTTTTTTTAAACACATTTTAACGGGAGTTGGCTGATGTTGAACAGATGGGTCACATCAAGAAGCAAGTACAAAGTCTCCCTTATTCCAAGTTTGCACAGGAACAGTTGCAGTTTCCTAGACCCTTCTGGCAGCAAAAAAGCTGAAGTATCACTATTTCTTCATTCACCTCCCTGGTGCCGCAGGTCAATGCAAAGCACTCTGCTGTAGCAGACATTTCACCATGTGTTTCCTGAAAGAAGCCTGAACACAGGCAGAGTGCTTTGGATTACTGCTTTCCCTA